AGTTTTTTTTATAAAGATAATATGGAGACTTGTAACATTCATATGTTTTGTGGTTCCTATAGCTGGATATATTGATGTCCCACGTGATTCATATAGATGTATTCTTTCCCAGATTATAGGCAATTACGTATCAGTAATTCCCCATATCCAGGAACGGCATTCGTTTACCAAGAGTTACATTACGATGCTTTTAAGGCCTGTAAATTTTAAAGTCCATATCTCAGATTTGACTTATATTTATGATTATATATTATTATCCAGCAAGTTGGATTCTTTTCGCATGTGATCATTAAGCCTAAAAGAATACCATAAAAAGAGAAAAAAGAAAATCAGTTCCTTTAACTATCTTTGTTTTTTAATTTTGAATAATTTGTCACTGAAAGTCATGTTACTCCGGAGATGTGAACTGCTATATTTGGTGCGTGGTCATTACGATTAGCACGTGGCATGTCAGTGTCATATTAGTTCTAGTCTTTTCAAGTTATTACTGCATATTTGAATTTGTTTTAAAGCCTTTATTCGTTTTACGTAGATTCTCTCTGAAATACACAACTCACTGTTAGTACTGTGAACTGATAAATGCAGTATTTTATGAGTCTGCGTGATGCAAGGAAAGCAAATTACAGGTTTAGAGTAATTTAGCTTAGCACGGTAAATGTCAGCATTGTTGTTTTAATATAGGCTACCCATTTTATCAAACCATTTGCTCAATTATATATAAAAAGTAGCATATATTCTTCTACATTAATATTAATTAATATAATATAATAAAAGGTAAACAAATTGCAAGTTTATAGTTTAAATACGGGTTTTAAGATATTTGCAAAATGCTGTCGTAGTCCGTCATGGGTGGACATTGTCTAACTATCAAGATTTCATGAAGACTGTTCTCACTAGATAATCATTTTGTGAAACGGACATTCATTCGGACCAGTCAGTTAAAGAAGACATTTAATTGTTTGATTCAAGTGTTATAACAGATGAACTTTTACATCATTTAACATCATTTCTAAATGATCTAAAATGCCCTATAGAAGCATATATAAGATAACCTTAAATAAAAGCAAACGGAAATTAGATAAAAGCAAATTAGTAAAAAAAAAAAAAAAATCAGCATAAAATAATGACTCATAATTACCTTTTAGGGAACAACAAATAAGAAAAACACTGTAACACGTGTTTTATGATAGAAAATCTTATGATGATTTTAGACTTCCTTAATAAACACATGCAATCACACACAGGCTTTGCCTATCTCTCTTAAATGTCTGGTATTAATTAAAAAAAAACTTTTTTAATTTTGAAAAACTTAAAAAGAACAGTACTTTCAAAACGGATAAAGCCAAAAGTGGTAAAAGTGCGAAAATCTCTAAGTAATATTCATCATCAATTCCCTCGAACTACAGGGTAATTGTGCATATAGTTTAATAATGGTCCCATGGCATGACTGAATGAAAGTCCCTTATACATAATACATATATATTTCAGAAGCAATAAAATGTATATTTAATAGCTCACAATAATCTGCTGAATAAATACTAATGAATAATATGCAGTAATAGATTTCATTGTGTTTATTTGGCTGTAGATATTTATCAACATGCAACGTGACATACAGATAATAAGCAAATGCTGTGCTTTTACCTCGATAGAAAAAAAAAACTTTTTTGCGCTGGTCCGTGAGACGGATTTATTTTTATTGTGGCTTATCGACCGGTAAAGAAATATTTAATTTATTTCTTAGTATTCTCCGGCTACAGCGCATCAACCAATCACAATCAGCTTTTACTTTGGGGTGGGGTGAAGACTGACCATAAAAGGATGGAAAAGCTGTCGAGCTGAGCTACTGAGAACATCATTCTCAAAGACAAAGTAAACAGGTTTAAACTAACGCCAACATGGTTCAGT